TCCCATGAGCGCGCCCTTCCGTGCTGGGCCGCTTCTGTGCGCGCCCAGCCTTCCGACAGGCCATACGACCCCTCGATCGCGGATGCTGCCGCTGCTGGACTTCCTCCTTCACCCAGACGACACGACAGCTGCCGCGACAGACGAGAACCGCACGGTTTGCGAGGATAGCGCTGCGAGCTGGCGGCACCGGTGCCCTCGGTACAGCAGCATTCTTCGAGCTTTCCCAAAAGGACAATGAAGGCACAGACCAGACTGGTGAGGGGCGGATGCTCGAGGCCAGCAGGGCCGAGATCAAGAAGAAGCTGGATGACAATGACGTTGGGTTCTCGAGGGTATGGCACTCGCTTCTCATCGGCTTGGACACGTATCTTGTCGAACCAGTCATGACGGGCATTCGCTTCTTGCATCTCGTCATCATCTTTGTGCCTGTCATCGTGACAGTGCCGGCCATCTGGTTCGGCGCTCGCCAGCCCAGCCGCGACAACGAGCGGAGCGGCACATTATGGTGGTACGCTTTCCTCGTGCAGGCCATGGAGTGGGCTGGTCCGGCCTTCATCAAGGTAAGAAGTGCGCAATGCTCCAGTGTCACAGCACATCTGACGGCGCCTCCAGCTCGGCCAATGGGCCGCTTCTCGATCCGACATCTTCCCGACGGAGATGTGTGAAATCATGTCAAAACTCCACTCCAACGCCCCCGCCCATTCCCTCCACGCAACAAAACGCATCGTCTCCCATGCCTTTGGCGGCAAGTCCTTTGAGGCGATCTTTGACGACTTTGACGAGAAGCCTCTCGGCGTCGGCGCCATTGCGCAGGTGTACAAGGCCAAGCTCAAGCCCGGACTGGCGGTGCCGAGCGATGGCGATCTGCCGCGAGAGCCGAGCCTCCTGCGCCACAAGGTCGTGAAGAATGTCGAGACGGCGCTCAAGAGCTCCCCGAAACGCGTACCCTCGTCCTATGTCGCTGTCAAGGTGGTACACCCCAACGTCGAACGCACCGTGCGTCGTGATCTGCGCATCATGTACTTCTTCGCCTCGGCCATCAACATCATCCCCACCATGGAATGGCTGTCGTTGCCCGATGAAGTCGCGCAGTTTGGCGAGATGATGAAACTGCAGCTCGACCTGCGCATCGAGGCCGCCAACCTCGCCATCTTCCGCAAGAACTTTAAAGATCGGAGTACGGCCTGGTTCCCGTATCCGTACACCGAGTTCACCACGCGCAATGTGCTCGTCGAGGAGTTTGCCCAAGGCATCCCGCTGGCCGATTTTATGGAGAACGGTGGCGGCGTCTTCCAGCAAGATATTGCCGAGGAGGGACTAGACGCCTTCCTTCGCATGCTGCTGATTGATAACTTTATCCATGCCGACCTGCACCCCGGCAACATCATGGTTCGCTTCTACCAGGCAGAAAAGCCCAGTCTCATGAGCTCTCGTGCGAAACACCCCGACGAGGGCGACGACGTGACGGAGCAAGTCCTGGCCCGCCTCCGCCCCTACCGCCACCGCAAAGACCCCGCAGCATGGGACGCTGAGCTCAAGAAGATTGAGCACGAAGGCTTCCACCCGCAACTCATTTTCATCGACACAGGTCTCGTCACCGAGCTCAACGCCACGAACCGCACCAACTTTCTCGACCTCTTCCGGGCCGTCGCCGAATTCGACGGCTACAAGGCCGGCAACCTCATGTGCGAGCGCTGCCGCCAGCCCGACGACGTCCTCGACCAGGAGGTCTTCGCGCTCAAGATGCAGCACCTCGTCCTCGGCGTCAAGAGCAGGACCCTCGCCCTCGGCAACATCAAGATTGGCGACATCCTGCAGCAGGTCCTCGGCATGGTGCGCGGCCACCACGTGCGCATGGAGGGCGACTTTGTCAACGTCGTCATCAGCATCCTGCTCCTCGAGGGCATCGGCCGCAGCCTGAACCCGGACATGGATCTCCTGAGCAGCTCGCTGCCCATCCTGCGCCAGCTGAGCGCGCAGTCGGGCGCCGAGATGGCCAAGCATGGCGATTTCTCCATGCTCTTTGTGTGGATGGGCCTGGAGACGCGCAAGTTCCTCCAGGCCAGTATTGAGGATGTGCGTCTGCTGCTGCTGGTCCTTCTCCTCCGCTTCTCTGCTGACGTCTCGAATAGGTGGAACGCTTGGTCAAATATGATCTCCTTGCGCCGAATGTATAGATGTATAGATGTGAAGATACTACCGCCGTCTCACACAGATCTGTTTCCGACATGTCGTCTGCCATGGTCAAGGTCTATACAGATCTTGGCCAGATGCCTCTCATGTTTTTTCGCTCTGCGTTTTATGACGGCTAGGCCTCCCACCAACGGGATGGTCGAGCTACGGTGATCGATGGTGGCAGTACATGGATGATGCCCCATCGCATGATGTAGTGCACCGAGAGAGACGCTGTTGGCCTGCCCCAGACATGAAGATGCATTTCTGCGCCCATCCGGAATACTGGGACTGTCTTGACTTATGCCCTTTTGCCGGGTACGCTGAGCGAGGAGCCTTCCTCGTCACGTGCGGCAATGTTATCGTTAACGGCTTTTATGTGGCTAAACAGAACACACTTTGGCCTTTTCGTTCCTCTTTCAAACTGACGTGCTGAGACGGCTTATTCTGCCAAATATAGCGGCCACCCGCTATTCCACTGCCTTTCACTTGTTTGGGCAACTCCATCACCTTGGTACATGCCGAATATCCAGAAGGCCCGCGGAGAGATTGAAACCCACGAGGACCGATGTCTTCCTCGGCCTCTCCGTCGCGGTCGACCAAAAGGTCAATGAACAAGCGCTGTGATGCCAGATATGGGGTTATGGACATTCTGATTAGGCCTCCATTGGCATATCACACACCAACACCTGGCTGTAAATGTCTCTCGAGGCAGCCTCTGAGTACTTGGAGGAACAGAGCAGTCTTTGAAATATTTCCTGGTCTTACCTTCGATTGGGAGAAATTCCTTTCGCTTGGGAAACAACAGGGTCTTGAATGGTAGCTTGTCTGTTTGGTATTTCGGGCACTTTGTTTCGATGTTCTGGTATTCCGAATACATGCTAGAAGCACACGCATAATTCGGACAGAGCGCATCGGCCGAGCCTGACACAACAGATCATCAGTTGGCCCTCGAACTGTTCGGACAGGTACAATAAGTGTGTATCGAATTGTCAAAATACAAAGAAAGACAGTTCGCAGATTCCCTTGCAACCCTGGTCCTCATGTCAAGCGTCACCGTTGTGCCTGTGTCCCTTGTCTTGCGCTCACAGATTATCCATCTCCATCAGTGTGGCAGATTCCAGCCACTGTCCCCAATTCATACTTTCCTCGCCATTCATGTCTATGTCAGCGCCTCCCAATTGCTCAAAGTCTGCCATATCCCACGACCCAGGGGTCAGGTCTAGGCTCAATGCGCCATTCCTTGACCAGTCCACTGGTAGACCCATCTCATCGAGTTGGTCGTGAGAGACCCCCAAAATCTCATGCCGTTGCGTGTATTCGTGGCTTGGAAACCGCTGACTGAATTGCGTCTCACCGTATTGAGATCCCGAATCATCGTGTCGTGAGGGCGAAGCAAACTGCATCGCCCCTGCGTGATCTCGCTCGATGGAGCGTGCAGGATCACCCTGGCCACTCTGTCGCGGCCCAGAGACGACATCCCGCCAGTGTCTCGCAAACAACGCCAAGCTGTCGCCGCCTTTGAACGGCCCGGGGCTGACGGGTACCGGAACATCCTCATCCTGCCTCTGAAGCGCCTCGACAGCAGCCGGGTCCGCGCGCAGCCGCCAGATCTCGGCATCCCGGTGCCGCCGCGCGCGCCGCATGAGGCGCCGCAGCGGGATCCACACGCGCGCGCTCTTGTCGCCCTTGGGCTGCGCCGGGATCAGCCAGCGGCTGTGCAGGGCGACCCAGGCGCGCTCGACGACGGCGGACCACGGGCGGCGCGCGGCCTCGATGAGGAGAAAGACAATGGCGTGCCAGTGCGTGTACGTCTCGACGATCCAGCGCCACGGCTGGCTCGCCGGGTCGGCGCTGAGGACGTGGTTGAACTCGGCGACCTCGATGGCGGCCACGAGCACGTCGTTGCGTATGCGCGCCGACACGCCGGCGTCGCCGGCCGTCAGCAGCGTCGGCAGGTGGATGAAGAGGGCCAGCTTGGCGATGACGAGGCGCGTCGACGTCGAGCCGACCCAGTACGCCAGCGTCGCGAGGTCCTTGACGTGGTGGCTGAAGCCCCAGGTCGCAAAGTCGGTGCGGAAGGCGTCGAGGAGGCGGTGCTGCGCCGCGGCGTCGGGGCCGCCGTCGGCCGTGCGCGCCGTCATGATCTGCCGCGTGACGCGGCAGGTGCGGTAGCAGGCGACGGCGAAGGACATGTCGGTGTCGTGGTCGCGCGCGACGGGCGGCGCGCGCATGGCGGGCCGCATGTCGGCGTCGGCGACGTTGATGGGCATGCGCGTGTCGAAGGCGCCGTCGGCGATGGAGAACTCGGTGCCCTGGTCCTCGGCGGCGCGGATGTCGAGCAGGCAGAGGCACCACCAGACGCGCCGCCGCATCTCGACCTCGTACGGCGACAGGTGCGCGAAGTGGGTGCCGTCGCGGTGCAGGCCGACGGCGACGGCCATGCGCGCCGCGAGGCCCGTCATCATCCACACGTAGCGTGGGCTGTCGTGGCGGCGCGCGAGGCCGAGGAAGATGATGAAGGCCTGGACGAGCGACACGGTGGGCAGCCGGATAAAGTCGGCGCGCGCGAGGGCGTGCTCGAGGCCGAGGCGGAACTTGTAGTTGAGCTCTGCTTTCGCGGCGCCAAAGCTCGAGGCGACCTGCGCGTGTCAGCTGATGGCCGGAGACGAGGGATTGAGTCTCGAAAAGGAGGACCAACATCTTCTTCGCTCATGGAGGTGACGGCCGCATAGTAGACGGCAAAAGCGAGGGCTTCGTTGGCCGGAGGGATGCTGCCCGCGCTCTTACCGCGCATGTCGCGGATCATGTCTCTGAGGGCCGGCATGTGCACGATTTGTATGCAAAAGTTGACATTTTCCGAAAAGACATCGACGAGAAAGGGAATCTGTGATGGAAGCGGGCGGAATTGGCCGAGGTCGGGGGCGGATGGCCCAAGATTATGGCCGAACAGAAGGCCGTTGCGCTCAGAAGCACCACGCTCTGACTCTCGTGTGCTCGCCGTCTGACCAGGAGAATCCGTGTCGTCCTCGGAGACATCGGAATCGCCGCCAGCGAGACCTTGCGTGTCTGCCTTGAGGGCATCGAGCTGGGGACGTTAGGGCGAATACCAAAGACCGACGAAGCGCAGGCATGCCTACCTCGTCGCTGACGCGTGTCCAGAAACTGCTGCCAACGTATTGGCTTCGCCCCTTTTCTTGGCCGACCATTCGTCCCATGCCCGGCTGGACACCAGCAGCAGGGGCCGCCGACAAACCATGGCGCTGGCTGTCGAGCCCATCGCCATCAGGAGACGGCGCGTGACGATCCCCGCTCTTCGCGGCGTTGGCCTGCTCGAGCTCGGCGCCGAGGTCTTTGACCATCTTCTCCAGAGTCCGCAGCCGATCCATGACAGCACCGGCCGCCGGCTCGCTCTCCTGCGGCGCCGACGGCCGCGCCGCCAGCTTATCGAGACGACGCGCCCATCGCGGGGGGCGGTCGCTCGAGGCCACGGTGCAGGGTATGCCGGCGCGGCGACAGTTGGAGCACGGCGACAGCTTGTCGCAGCGGACCTTGCGGCTGCGACAGACGACGCAGCTGCGCAGCTTGGACGCTGGCGCCGAGGATTTCGTGCTGTCCTCCGAAGGCGACGCCGAGACCTGCGCGGGGACTGCAGCGCCACCGGGCGTGGTGGTCGACATCTGTGAGCCGAAGAGTGGAGAGCGGAACGGGCTTGGCGACCGCCGGAGAGGCCGGGAGATCGCAGATTGTTGACGTCAAAGACCAGAGCTGGGACACGCTCCTACTGCGCCGCCATGCCTTTGGTGTTTGGAGCGGTGACGAGACTTGATGTTCTTCCCCTCTCCCGCTCTGTGCCGCAATCCAGGAGGAGAGGCGGGCGTCAGCACACAAGGCATCATCCTATAGCGTATAACTGCATGTCTGAAATGAGTAATTGCATCGCTCTTCTATGTGTATACAGAACCAATCGGGGAATCATCGCACCCTGTTGCCTGCCGCCCTCTCTCCTTGCCTGCTGCCCTCGTATGTGATCGTGGTGCCATCAGTGTTTGCTCGTGGTGCTATTAGTATATGATCATGCTACCCTCGGTATGTGGTCGTGCTGCCTTCAGTACGTGATGGTCACAATCTTGTTGCAAACTTGGCGCCCTCAGGACGTGATGGTCGCAATCTTGTTGACAAACTGGGCGCCCTCAGTATGTGATGGTCGCAATCTTGTTGAGGAACCTGGCGCCGTCCTGCTTCACGAGGTTCTCCGCAAACCACGCCCCAGCATCCTCGCGTGAGATGGTGTACCCAACGGCCGTCGACTCGGTGCCGGCGACGGGATCCTCGACGCCGACGCGAATCGCGGCATCGGACGCGGCGCCCACAAACAGGCTGCACCGCACAACGGTGAAATCCTCGCCGCCGCCCTCGAGCAGGACCTCCATGGCCCTCTTGTCGACATGGGGCACCGCGAGGGCCAGGCGATACAGCGGCACCATGAGCAGCGGCACGTCGCGCGCGTGGCGCGAGATGCCGGTCGTGCTGCAGACGACGAGGCGCGGCCTGCCGCCGAGGCCGTCGGCGCGCAGGCGCGTCAGGGCGTCGAGCAGCGCCTTGATGCCGTTCTCGCAGACGTGGGGGTCCTCGAAGGAGAGGCCCTTCATGCGGGCGCCGATGGTGAAGATGACCGTGTCGACGAGGTGCGTGGCGTCCTTTTGGAGGACCTGCGCCACGGCGGCGGCGTCGTGGGCGTTGCCGGCGACGATGCGCAGATTCGGGTGCGCGTCGAGGGGCAGGTGGGCTGTGAGGTTGGCGGGGGTGCGGCAGAGGGCGATGGCGCGGTGGCCTGCGGCGAGGGTTGCGCGGAGGGTGGCGAGGCCGACGCCGGAGGAGGCGCCGAGGAAGGCGACCGTCTTGGACATTGGGGAGTTGGTGCGGTGTTGGTGAGATGTATTCGCTGGACTGAAGATGGTGGTGGTGGTTATGGTGGTGATGATGGTGATATGTTGATGATGGTGATGAGTGATCAGAAGTGCTTGATGCTGGTGAGACTGCTAGATGAGACGGCCAAATGCAAACACCATGCGGTACCATGCGGCACCATGCATCTTATAGAGATCAAGCCCATCACCGACCAGCAGACTGACGCCGAGCAGACAGCCCTCGGCGCCGGCGCGGATTCGGCACGGAAAAGCGGGGCTCGCGCTTTTCTCGCGCTTTTCTCGCGCCGTTTCGGGCGACGCCGCTGTGCCGATGAGCACGCGAGCGCCGGCGACAGACCGAGACGGAGCGGCGTGAAGGTGTATCGGTGTGACATTGGTGTGAGAATGAGGATGGTATAAAGGACTTGATGGCATTCTAGTGCACTTTTGCGTGGTACACCCTCTGCATCGTCACAACAGGAAGCCCTGTCCTACTTCAACTATCCTGCACATCTCATCACTCTCCATGTACCATCATCTCGCCATGGGTGTCGCCATTACACAAACCGCCTCGATTGAGATCCAGGCCTCCCCAGAAACAGTCCGGTCCATCGTGCGTGTCTCCTGTCCACAGTTGCGTCCACAAATGACGGCCAAACTCTTCTGACGGTGCCAGTTCCTCGACTTTGCACGCTACGACCAATGGCAAGACGTCTTCGACATCCAGCCAGCAACCACGGGACAGAGCCCCGTCGACCTGAAAAAGGGAGACAACCTCCGCGTCAACATGCAGGGCTTCACCTTTCGTCCTCACGTTGAAGTAAGTCATCACCACCCAGCACCCCCGCCCGCCTTTCCTTTCGCTGACGCGCCGCGAGGCCAACGCGCCCGACGTCTTCACGTGGGTCGGCTCGATCCCGCCCCTCCTCTGGGGCACGCACCACTTCCTCTTCACGCCGAGCACCGAGACCCCCGGCGGCACGACGTTTGTGCAGCGCGAAGACTTCGAGGGGCTCCTCGCCGTGCCGTTCTGGCCGTGGCGCCACAGCTTCAAGCCGAGCGAGCCCTGGGCGCGGTTCAACGCCGGGCTGAAGAGGGAGGCGGAGCGTGTCTCGGGGCGGGGCTAGCTGTTCTTTCTTTTGGATTGTGCATAGTGTGCATGCTGGGAATGCTGTCTGCCCTCGTTCAGCAGGCGGAGGGACAGACTGACGAGGCTGGATGATAGTAGAGGATGTTGCTCGGTAACGCAGATCGTCCTGTGCATGTGTTATCGCACGGCGTTTATGAGACATACCCTTCATCACGTTTCCAATGAGTCTGGCCGCGAGAACAGGGCGGCCATCCTTCTGAGCCGGCCGGCGGAAACCAGAGACACGATCTGCCCGCGTGGTGCGACGGGGCCACTGCGTTCTGCGTCGGTCGGCGTGACCAGATCGGGACCGCTGATCGCTGCCGCATGGAGTGCTGCGTGGGGGAGCGACGCGCGCTGGCAGGTGACGGAGCAAGATGGATCGACCGGCAGAGATGCATGTGAATGTTCGTCCTGCCGGTGATGACAGATTGGATGTCTGGATGTTGAAGCGTCGATACAGAAAGAGGAAATGCAGACAAATGGTGGCATCGCCGAGGCGAGCCTACCTGCCTTTGGCTCGACGAGAGTACCTGCCTTTGGTGTATTTGCAAGGCAGGTCAAGGCAGGTGTACCTGCAACGCAGTTGTACCTGCCCGCGGCCAGCGTGGCGCCCCGGTGGATCGTTTCAGCGTCGTCGCTTCCTGGCCTCTCCCTGGGGGTGCCTATCGTACCTACCTAGGTGAGGCAATGTTGACATTTCGCTCTCACTGGCGGTACCCGTGGCAGGTATCGAGGCCAGCTCAGGCGCCTCGCCTCTCAGGCGCCTCGCCTCTCAGGCGCCTCGCCTCTAGCCTTGGCAGCCTGAAGCTCATGCCCAACACCAAGACCACTCGTCCAAAATAGCACATGGCCAGCAGCACACGCTTCTCTGCTTCGCCATCCCTCGGCATCATGCAGCCCGCCGTTCCTCCGTCGACGACCTCTCCTGTTTCAGCCGCTCCCTCTGCCTCTGCCTCTGCCTCTGCCTCTGCCCCTTCGCCGGGCCTGTGAGGATCAGGCACCTCATCAGGCACCTCAACAGCCACCTTAGCAGGCACCTCCTGGGTCATCTTCGACAGCCACCGAGCAACCAACACCACCAAGCCATCGTCTGGCATCCACGAGTCCCATCGTCTCAATAGTCCTGCACAGCTCCATCATCGTGCAGCCGCACCAGCTCGAACGGGACGGGAGCCAAGCCGCGACCCAACCTTGCTTGTCTTGTCCCGCTCGACCTAGCCAGGACGCCCTCGCCCGCACAGCACGCGCTGCTGCCCACCCGACATCGGACGGCGAACACTGCCAACACACCGTTGCGGCCTGGCCAGAAGAGGAAGAGAGCAGACAAGACGGGCACAGGCACAGACACCCTGCCTTGCCTGCACAGCACTGCAATCCAGGGCGGGTCACCTGCCCACAACCAGAGACACCACACCCACACGACCGCTACCGAATCACATCAATCACATCATTGCCGTCGCAAGCCACGGCATCTCTGTGTGACGAGACTGGTCGTCTCGAACGCCTCTGCCTCGATAGGGTCCGGGCGAGATCAGCGTTCACATGTGAGGCTGTCACGCCGACCCGGCCTGACGACTCGGTATTCATACTCGACTCTCCGCCCTCGTCCTCGCTTCGCTTTCATCCTCGCGACAAACCTTGACTTGAGCGCGCCATGACTTGACCTCGCCATAACGTAACCTCGCCATAATACACGCTCACCTCGACCAGAACCACGGCAGATCCACCAGACGGGCCCAGACCGCCTCTTCAACCCGCCCAACAAACAAAAACCACACCCACGCCAGCGCCCCGTCAACGCCCTGCCACTGCCACCCCTCCCCCCGGCGCCCCTCCGTAGCACCCCGCTGGCGGCACACAAGCGGCAGTCCGCGTTCCTCTGGCCTCCTCTCCACGAATCGAACAGTATCACCAGTGTCCACCAAAACCCGAGCCCCCTGCCACCACCGACGCCTAGCCTAGGGCGCGTGCCTTGCGATCCACGATCCCCTCACTCGCTCACCCACGGCACGAATCAGTCCTGTCCCGCTTTTGTTCTGCTGTGCGTTGTGACTCGACTCACTCGAAGCATGGGAAAAAACTCAAATCACCACGATCATACTTAAGAAAATCACCGCCATTCTGCTGCATCCTCCGACATTGGATGACACAACCCTCTTCAGCTCTCTGTCTCGCTCTCGTCTGATCTACGCACTATCAGCGGCTGTCACTTATCAGCACAGCACTCACTGAGACCCGTCCCTGGGCACCTCGGCACAGGCCGTCTAACCGTTGAACGGCAATACTCAGAACAGCACCACTACCACCTCAGAGTGCTCTCCTGCTCCAGCGTTCGAGACGGCCTTACCCAGCGTTTATCGCGCCCTTGCAGACGCCACGCACAAAGCCGTCCGGAATATCCTCGTTCTGCATCTCTGACGGCACTGCGACATCAGCACCAGGAAATCCTAAAACCCCAACCCACGCAACGTCAGAACAGCCAGAACCTGCACCGCCGCCATAAACAACAACACGCGTTCGTCTTGACTCTCGGCTGCATCCCCCGATCCCAGCACCTGCAGCCGCCTGCATAACCCACCCTGGAGCCGAGCCTGTTGCGCGCCCTCACCGCTCGTCGCCGTCCAATCGTCATCCCGAGACGTGCCCACGCTCCCCTGGCTGGACCACCCGTCTGGCTCTTGTTATTGATCGTCTCCATCGACGACTTGCTGCACGGCTTTCCAGTTGAGACAAGGGGAAAAAACCCCACGAGACCCATCCAGGGCATCACATCCCACTCTCGCCTGGGCCCCTGGCACGTCTCGTCGCTGGAACGACCGCCGTTGACCGCAACTTCTCCTCACCTTGGTTGGCGAGGCCTTCATTTCCGCCTCTTTCGTTTGTTTTGGGTCATTTCGGACCGCATCACGTATTTGACCGCCTGCACCGGCACGCACTCGTCAGTTCCAAGTGAACCTCGACGTCTCTCGACGGCTCTGCGACGTCCACAGCGAGACCTTCACCTGCGTCCTCCTCGCTGTCAACAACGCCGTTCACGGACTTATGAGGGCCGCCGCTGCATCACAGACCCCACCTATCGCCATATCTGCACGCATTGCCATCATCACGCCCTCTGCGAGTCAAGGGATTTCCACGACTGTGTCGTAGACGACCTCCAAGACCATGGATCCCCGCATCTCTCGCCTCTCCCACATGGGAGCTGCCGGTTCGCGATCCTCCGTCGCCGCCTCCGACACGACGTACCATTCTTTCCACGATGTCGAGCTGTTTCCGCCAGCATCACCACCCAGGGCCACCAACAAGTCAACAACCGTCCACCCGACGACCCCACAAAAAGAGAACCAACGTCCTCACCCCTCCTCTACCGAGATGAAGCGACAAGATTCGGGCTACGAATCAATTCCCCCGCGCACATCCTTTTGCAGCCAGCCCCGCCGCACATCCGTTGCATCCTCCTCCGGATCGGGTCCCCACACGCCCCGCGCCCGACCCTGCTCCCGCCCCGGCCGTCCCGTCATCCGCCGCTCGCCCCAGTCATCGCCCTACCCTGCGCGGCCGCAGATGGCCCAGGTCCAGGCCATGCACAACGCCCGCTCTCAGCCGAATCAGGCTTCAGGCTTCTTCCACTTCCCGGCGCACCCCACCGACCTGACCCCGCCGTCGCCGCCAAAACAGCAGGACCAGGAAGAGCGCGAGATCGTCAGGTTGATCCCCTCGCCGCCACCGCAGCCGACACATTACTGGACGAGCGACCAGACGAGGAGGCTCGAGTATGCCGCCATCGACGCTGCGCATCAGGGGATCAAGGGCTGGGTGAGGCGTCACCTCGTGCCCGAGTGTTTCGTGCCGCGGGAGAAGACACCGGTTGCATTCGACGACGAGACGGGCAGCGTGAGGCGCTATCGCATGGAACTCGGGGAAGAAGAGAGAGAAGGCGAGAAGAAGGGGTGGGCGTGGGCACGGATGAAGAGCTGGTGATGCACATCTCTCATCGAGCTGCGGCCGGACCGAGAGACGATCACTGGTGCGGATCGACAACTATGGAAACGACGACAAGAAGACTGACGAAAGAGGAAGACTGATGACTGGCATGACGTTGACGATGGGTTTGTTTTCATTGCACGCGGCGAAATCCGTCGCCTGGCGTTCTATACCCTGCCTTGTCCTGCCCCCTTGCATACTTGTATTACTGCATCATTGCGTTGCTGCATTGTTTTGCGATGATTTTCACTAGTATTTCCCTATGTTTCTGGCATTGCAGTCGTAATTGCGGAGGATGAACATGGTAGGACGATACAGGAGCATTCTGAAGCCGAGGATGGCATAGAGAGGTGTCATAGAGAGGTGCACAGAGATTGTAGTTGAGCTGCGAGATTGTATCTGTAACGTCGGAGACGTTAGTAGCATCCTTGTTCCCAGCATAATAGAAAGCATGACCAAGATGCGCCGTGGATTCAAATGACTCGCATCATCGACTACCAGTGCTAAACTCTAGGTCTAAAGTGATGAATACCTCTTTAAACATAAGCACTGAAGGGCGCCCGCGCCTTCCCTCATCGTAGGGCTGTCCACAAGCTGGTACCACTGTGGTGCCGGGATTACATTTTTGAACTATATGCTAAGAGACTCATCGGTGGCGGTGTCGTGTCTATAGGGTTGGTGTTTCGAGAGGAACGCCGCCCAATGCAGGGCGAACTTCTGCCAAGAAAAACATTCTAGGGGCGAGAGATTCAAGAAAAGTTCCGCTACCTGGCGGTCAGCTTCTGACAAAGGAAACAAATCAGGCATTATCCCAGATTCTGTGCCTCGCACATCTTTCTGTACATCTCGCTCGTGGCAAGAAGCTCCTCATGCGTCCCGGTATCAACAATTCTACCACCGTGGAAGATGCATATCATATCAGCATGGCGCACCGTCGACAGTCGATGGGCGACGGCAACGGTAATCCGATCGCCCGTCTTGGCAGCCTCGTTCAGCGCGTCCTGCACGATTCGC